AATCGTTTAAATACCTACAAAAATTAGGAATATATGTATATTTATATAGACTTGAATAGAAATTAATTAGACAAACTGTAAGTAATACAAATGTATCTCAAAAAGCTCTTCGATTCAGTGCTTTTTTGTGAGCTTTACATACTCTTCAATATACAAAATAGAAATCGTGCTGTTATCGTTGCAATTTTCAATGTAAAAACCTTAAAATATTCACAAAATATAATAAACATAAAATAATGAAAATAAATTGAAATTCTGCTGTTATCGTTACATTTTTCAAAAACCACCATCAAAAAAGTTCAGCTTTCAAAGATCTACCAATTATTATCATGCCAAAGAATTTAAATATGTCGTTGACAAAAATCTTATAATTGTATCCTATAAGAAAAAAACGACCATGGACGAACAAAGAACCAAAACTATAATACTATAATAGGATTTTATCAAGACTCTTTGTGTATAGAAAATCGATTGTGAGAATCATTTACAACTGTCCTTGTGCATATCAATTAACAAACAAAACTGCATCGCATCACACGAAAACATTAAATATACTGCATTATGATACAAAATTTGCCATATTTTTCGCCACTTTTACCGCAGATATGTTTTTAACATTTTACCTCAATGGCATTAAGCAGACATGTAAATAATCTTATTCAAATTTAAACACGTATTTACTGTTAGACAGACGTGCTGCTAACACACATATTCAAATTCAAATATCTCGACCATAACAATCGTGTTTCACTTTCGTTTAGTGTAATACATTGTTAAAAGGCGGTAAATTAGTATCGTTTCTAAGCAATTATTAATAATTAATGAGCGTTTGATATATACGATGTAGAATAGTGACAAATGGTAAAAGAAGTATTTAATTAGTTCGTCAATCACGCTAGGACAATAAACTATAAAGCTATATTTATATAATAATATAAGAGATGTTGTGTTTATAATTTATCCTATATACGAGGTCTGTTCAAAAAGTACCCGGAATTTTCGTTTTTTCAAAAAAATATTTATTTATTCGTCTACATTAATGTGGTCCCCTTCAAAGTAGTCCCCCCCAGATATAATACACTTATGCCAGCGTTTTTTCCAATTTTCGAAGCACCCTTGATATTCACTTTTTGATATGTCCTTGAGCACTCTCAGCGATTTTCTTCAATCGAGGAAAACCGCCGTCCTTTCATGGGTCTCTTCAACTTTGGGAATAGGAGAAAGTCACACGGAGCCATATCTGGTGAATTTTTGCACTTTACAACACTTTATTTCATTTTTTACGCAAAATTTAATACAAATTCTTTGACTTTTCAATTCTTCCATTGTAAAAATCGCCGAGCACAGACAAAGTAAACAGTGAATATAGCTGAAAATTTCATCAAACTTTAGGGGCATGTATACCAACACAATAAAAAAAAATTTTGACAATCAGACACTCCAGACCCGCGAAATTTAATTATTAGTAATTCCGGGTACTTTTTGAACAGACCTCGTATATAGGATAGAGTGGGGCACAAATGTCCAATTTGTCTTTGAGCAATTGTGAAAACTAAACCAAATGTATCACAATAAATAACACATATCAAACAAACAACTATCTGACTATACAATAAATCTTCTAGATAATTCCAAAAACTTGTGACCTGGTCCTTTTTGCCCCATAGGCAGGGTGAATGGGACAGCCAGTAAGCAAACAGACGTATAATAGTGACAAATGGTCTGACAGATGTATAATAGTGACAAATTAGTATTTAACTAATAATAACTAATAACTATATTACTATATTTACGTAATATTAGGTTGTCAAATATCTCCCTTCCGCTTACTAAATTTATAAATGAATACTTATGTCACAAAACAATACTATTTTTTTAATTAATGAGTATTTTCCTATGTGATATAAATTAGCCGATACTAAATTCATAAATGAATTCTTTTGTTACAAAACAATACTATTTTTGCTCTTGGTTTATAATACAAAAAGGCGGAAGGGAATATTTGACAACCTTATAATATAAGAGATGTTCTGTTTATTAATTATATATAGAGTAATTTGATTTGATTTTGGTTTTAAGCAATTATATTGTGAAAACTAAACCAATTATATGACAACAAATAACACATATCAAAAAACAACTATCTGACTATGTTCAGTAAAAATTCCTGTTAATTCAACATTGTAGAAGCGTGTTTTTTGCAGTTTTATTAAAATTTGTCAACTGGTCCTTTTCACCCCATAGGCGCGATGAATGGGACGGCCAGGAGGCGTATAGATTCAATGTCTTATTTTTAATTTTAAAGGGATTTTACAAAATAATAGCTACAATATTCAACCAATACAAAATATAAATTTCATTGGTACATTTTTTACAAAGACACTGTATAAAAACTTGATCTGGTATTTTGTCAGAAATATTTATCAACAAATTTCGAATAACTATTAATTTAACTTATGTCTTGTAAAATTACTTGTTTTTACTTAATTTTCTTTTTTATTTACTATTTTCTATTGTTTACATGTTGGCCAGGGTAAAGTTTCAGTTGGTCCTTTTTACCCCACCCACGCGGAAGCTTTTATGGGGGTTATATAAAAAACTGTTAAATCTAACTTAAAAATAACAATACATCTTATAAAACAAAAAAAATTTATTTTTTAAAAATTTTATTTAAAAAACGTATTCTTAAAAATTGTATTTAGATATGATAAACTAAATAAAAGAGCTCAAAACCAGAAAAACTTCAAACAAACAAAATACTTTAGTTATGAATATTGATACATAGCTATTTATCTCCTGATAGAAATGTCATAAGAATTAGGATTATGAAAATAATATCGTTAAAAAATTCTATAATTTACTTGGTTTTAGAGATAATGGTGGTGTAACTTTTTACCCGCGAACCTTCAAGTTTTGCTCTACCCTACGTTTTTTTGTTAAATACCATTAAAAATGTATTTTTCATAAAAAACAGAAATGTGTATTTATGATTTTTAAAAGTGCTAATGTGCAATGTTTTTCAAAATTTACTACAGCAAACAAATTTTGTGCAAAATATTGGGACGATCTATACTTAAAGAGCTATGACAAATAATTTTATATTTGAAGTGTACAATATAAGCAAAAACCAGTTATTGTTTATAATTATGGCACAATAACTGCAAACAAATTCCCGAAATATGGTCATCAATGTTTTGGAAACACTTTATCGTATCACAATAATTATTTGATTTGCTTGTGTATTAAAACAAGTTTCAATATTGATTTAAATATGCACTTTTCAATGTTATGATCTCTCATCCGTAAAACTTTTTATATCATAACTTGCAATGAATACGTTAGAAAATTTTATTATTACGCTATATTTGACAATCGATTACCACAGCTTTAAACTTATAATTCATTTAGGCTTTCATGAATCTATTATTACTCATTTTATAAATTAAATACATTCATTCATGTAACAGCCAAACTTAGGCCTTCCGAAAAATTTAATACGACCCTGTACGCAAGTTCACTCAAAAATCAATATACGTATTAACTATGGTAATAAGTTATTCTTACAAAGAGTGCACCCAACCCACGCCGAACGGCACACTACTGAAAAAGAATTAAGTGTCAAGGGTCAAAATGAAAAAACGGTGATATTTTATGCACAAGAAGAAAAGGTAAAACTTAATACTATTTTGTAACATAATTTTTTAATGCAGTCATTAAAAAACTATTTCAGTTGTACTAAAAATAAAATCAAAACTTATAGGTTTAGGTGAACTTTAATGTTCCCATACTTTACAAGTATTTTGATTAATTATCAAGATGTGTGGAGCAATTAGTATCAGAAAATTGAAGAAATAGTGAATTAATCGAATTACTATTAGTGCCTATATTATAGCACCCTTAGAATAAATTATGCTGAAATAATTTGCTTAGTGGTATTCAGCTAATTGGATGTTACGCACAATTATGGCCGAATGATTAGAATATACCACCGAGGTACAAGGTATAAATGATAAACATAAAGCAGTGGTTTCCAACCTTTTCGTACTAACCCCCCAACCTTCCTCGATTTTTTAAAAAATAATGCTACACCACCCTGAAATTGTTCAACAATATAAAATATTATATCAAAATGTTATTTTTTATATCATTTCAACGTTTTTCGTTTATTTTTTGGAAATAGTTGAAAGCGAGGTACGAAAAGGTTGGAAACCACTGTTATTACCCCAAAAGTATATTATTAACTTCTTGGTATAAAAATACATTATCAACTTTGATTTGAATATTGCAAAAAACATTTTATTTGTATTGATGAAATAAAGAACTGATTAAATTTTTGGGAAGGCAGGTCCAGAGGTTTCGGAGATGCAACGAAAAATGTATAAATAATGCGATTTGGCGGTCTAAAATGATCATTAGACATATGCACATAAAATTATCTGATTTTTATAGAGATTTTAATAATAAGTGCACATTTTGTTTACATTTCTATCCATACCAATGTTACCAGTTCGATATTTCGTCTCTAAAACAGATACGCAGTGCGATTGCCTTGAAAAGAAGTTCAAAGCTTTTTTGAAAATTTGTATTTTCAGTACGGGAAGTTCTAGCAAATTATCTTAAAGCACATACATTTGGAAATACAATCCAAAAACACGCTGTAGAAATCGAGTTAAAAAGCTCAAATTCTTTGTCACATACACGCAATCGTGATAAAATTTTCAAAATATAATTGGCGAAGTATGAATCAAATGAATTAATCATTATCACCAGCTGTTAAAATCAATAGTGCACAAAACTTTATAGTCAGTAAATTAATAAAATATCAAAATGTTTTGTCATAAACCCTCAGAACAATAGTTCAAGAAGTCTATAAACACCTCGCTACTGTTTAAAGCCCATGCCACTTATGCGCAATTATGACCAGACTCGTAAACCACGTAACATAGTTCTAATGAAGAAGGAAAACGCTGCTGCTAATAATAACCAAGGTACCAACTTACATTCATCATAAGATAATCCACAAAAAATCAATATGTCACAAATGTTTTGGCACTAAATTATATCAACTTCAGGTATCCATCACAGTATCACTTTTTCGTATGATAAAGATTTCACTTTTGCGCACAGAACACAGAACCAAACAGTCCTTTTCGAGCGTTGTGGACAAATATCGGTTTATCACCGTGAATTGTCTCCCAATGTCAAATGGTGAACACGACAGTGCAGCACTCGTTCGAGACTGGCTGCGATGGCCTACGCGTTCGATACTTCGATACGTTCCGTTCGTCCGCTGCTATTTACTCATCGAGTTCTTGCGCGTTGACGGTGCGGCGTCATCGGCTGCTTTACTGGCACTGACTCTGACTCTGGCTCTCGAATCGGCCTCTGCTGGCACAATCCCAGAATAATACCGTCGTCGGCCCGTCCGTGCCGTGCTTCGATACTCGAACTCGACTACAGAGGCTACAGGCCGTTTGCTGACTGTGCCAACCGGCCGAGCGGAGGCCTCGCGTTGCCGCACGCAAGAATGAGACCACGGCAACGCCAAGCGAGATATAACACACGGCGGCCGCTCTGCTTCGCCTCGTGCAGATAGGGTTGACAATGTAGTCATAAGGCTGGTGAATGATTTACGTCCAACAGTTTCACCCTTAAAGCTCGACGATCTATTTACCATAGGTTATTCACACATAATCATATTTAAAACGTCAATCGCCACGATAATATGAGAAAATTCTTCACATTGTCCATGGTAACTTTATCAATAATTAATTAAGTTAACTACTGGTGTATGACATCGTGCCTTAAGGCAAATTGTTGGAACTACCTGTACCAAGAATTAATTTCTTTTAACTTTGAAAAAATTAGATTTTTGAGAAATTTTGAATTTTTTGCAAGTAAATTTGCTTTTTTGGAAAAATAAACTTTTAGCAAACAATGATTACAAACAAAATTGATACACATTATTAAAATCTCCATGAAATATCTGATAATTTGATGTGCATAAGTCTAATGATCATTTTTTACCTCAAAATGGCACTTTTTTTACTTTTTTACTAGATCTCCGAAACCACTAGACCTGCCTTTCCATTTAATCAGTTCTTTTTCTTGTCAATATAAGCAAAATGTTTTTTAAATTATCAAAATCGGATGCTCCGTTCTCTTAAAAACTGAGTTACCGTTTCTGGCACTTTTTTTTACTTTTTTACTAGATCTCCGAAACCACTAGACCTGCCTTCCCATTTAATCAGTTCTTTATCTTGTCAATACAAGTAAAATGTTTTTTGAATTATCAAAATCGGATGCTCCGTTCTCTTATAAACTGAGTTACCGTTTCTGGCACTTTTTACCCCGCATCTTCAAAATGGCTAGACCTGTCTGTGTCAAAAACTAATCAGCACGCAGCAACCCTTATCAATAGAAATCGAATGTTTTTTAAATAATTGAAATTGGTTGAACCATGTTCCCGAAATCGTCGACGAAAATTTGTATCCGCTCACACACGCACACATACATCCATTTTTTCTAAGGTATGCCAAAATATTCAGAAACCTTTGAAACCTTTAATAATTTTCATTTTCGATTTTTTTGCGATTACTATAACTACCCTAGGGAAAGTTAATTAAGTTAAAAATGTATCAAGAAAACTTAATGATCAAAGAAAAACTGGAGGAACACTATTTTTATGTCATACATATACGACTGACATGAATCTATATTAAAATTTCTTATCTACCATATCACTTATATCAGACATAATGCCTGACATTGCAAATGTACAACTTCTGAGCGTCACACTCATATAAGTGACATGGTAATCAACGTGCTACTATTATGTCATTTTCTGATTATGTTTATTAAATTATTTGTTGGACAATTTGTGCATCTCTTAGCCATTGCTTCAATAATTAACATTATTCATTTCATCCATTACTTTGATAATTATAACGATTTACGTCCAAAAGTTTCTCCCTTAAAGCTCCATGATCTACTCTATTACACTATGATACTTCATTATTGTGAATTATTTAATAAAATTCCCCAGCACAGATACACAATAAAATCTTACAGAAACAAACTGAATATTTTCCATATTTACCAAGAATATATTTCAAGAAAAATACACCGAGAAAAATATACATTTACAAATTAATAAAATCATGTAATTAATTTATTAGCCATTCGGATTAGCATATTATTACCCTTGTTTAATGATGCAACAATTTTCGAGAAATGTTATTGTTTTGTTAACAATCCTAAATTGTGATTATTTGTTTATTTATTATCAATATGAAAGATTTTTAACTTGATAAGTTCATGAGTGATAAGATGTAAAATGTGCATATGGTGTACGATTTATACAAACAAAATGTAATGTTTACACAAAAAAGTAGAGATGTTGAGCTTTATGAAGATAGTTATTTACTAAAGTTTTTAATAATCTCAATCTCAATCTTGGTATTTTAAAATCTTAATAATCTGTAAGGTAAAACAAATTTTCTTAAAGAAAAATCTAAAATTAATACATTAATGAATTATTCATATTTTATCAACATGAAATGTTTCTATCTATAAATAAATAAATCAAATCGGAGACTAACGAATGGCAATATATTTTATAAATTTCGTATACATTTCTTCATTATCTCATGACGCTTAAAAAGCACGTTACATAACTTTTATTTGAACTTAGTACAAACTCCCCGATTTTTTTTAATGAATTGAAAATTGTATTATAGTGGTACCTAAGGATATATAAGGGGATTTTATCAATTAATTTTTCTTAATTAATTAAATTGTCTCACTCACTTTTTGCACTATTTTGCATAATTTCCTCGTTTTCCTCGAAGGATTCCTGAGTTACCGCAATTCTATATTTTTAATTTAAAGTTGCATTCAAACCAAAATTTTGTAATTCATATAAATATATGCTCTTTTTATACATGTTGTCTCAAAAGACTTTTGCAGTCACTTTGATCTTATCCACCTTGAGCTTGATAGTAAGAAATTATATAGAACTAAATAAAGTTATAACACGAATAAAATATAAATTTATCCCTCTGCATCCCTCACTAATTGCAGAACGCAGTACTGCTGCTATGTTCTTTGCAGCTCTGAGCGATTCTCGATGCTCCTGTAGGGTGGAAAGTGAATGCACCCTCCGGTGCGAATGTTTTTATCCCCGACGATATCGGTTACTATACGTGCATGATGTGCGTCATCAATGCACCACTCCGATCAAAATCCTATCTCGTCCGATATAAATCATCGATGACAAAAGACTTGAATTTAATATTCAATCAAAAGTATCCTTTATGTATTATATTGCAGATATGATAATTGAGCTTAAAGCTTAGAGAAAATATGAACTTAGATGAACTTTTATAATTCAACAGCTTTTTGTAGGCCTATAATATTTTAGTATGCTATTTCAGCCTGCAAATTTTTTGTTATGCAAAGTTTCATCATAATTGTCAAAAATCAACATTCAATTACGAACAAATGGCCCTGCAAAGCTTCACCAAAACTAAACTGTTAAAATCAATTCATAATTGTGGCTAAAACGGAGGCGGAAAATTTTCCACTTTTCTGCTAATTACAAAGTAATGGATCATTGGTCGTCCCACAAAACTGATAAACGCTTATCGAGTTCCATCGAATGGCATTTTTGAAATCGGTCCAGCATTTTTCGAAAAAATGTCAACAAAATGTCAAAAATGGGCTCACATACACACACCTACTTTTTTCTAAGTCTGGTCTCATACGATTTAATAAAATTAACAAATCAGATTTTTGCGATAAAATATTAACTCTTCCTTCGAGTAGTTAAATATTAAGTTCTTTTAATTAACTAATTTTATTTAATTAATAATTGCCTAATTTTGTATGATTCATTATCTATGGAATACCGGTCTTGATATGAGTCAATACCAATCCTATTTATGGTTAACTTCTTAATAACTTCAAATTTAAATCATAAGCACTGTTATCGTCGTTTATATGAAAACAGTTCACATTCCATTTCAATTTATTTCAAAATAATTTGACTCGATGTGACTATTGCGTATCGAAGAATTACAATTTAATCGTGTCGAATGTCATGTAAATTATTCGGAATGAAAATATAAAGGTTTAACTGAATTACTTGAAGAACACATGAAGGCAAATGGTAAATGAAAAAAAGTATATACTTGATGAAAAAATATACACTCCTTCGAGACATATGTTTAATTTTTTGTCTTCTATAACATTCTTAATTATTACTTGTATTTTAAAAATAAAATTTAAAATTTATTTTTATAATTCAAAACGTCAATCCAACCCATTATTAACTTCCCGTAGGGTAAGTTATTGTAATGGGCCGAAAATCGGAATTGAAAATTTTTACATTTCTCGACGTTTTGAAGGTTTCTGAACGTTTTGGCATACTTCAGAAAAAATGGATGTGTGTGTGTGTGTGTGTGTGTGTGTGTGTATGTATGTATGGATACAAATTTTCGTCCACGTTTTCGGGCGTACGGATCAACCGATTTGAATGGTTTAAAAAACATTCGATTCCTATTGATAGGGAAAAGAGCTGATTAGTTTTTGGCGAAGGCAGGTCCAGCCGTTTCGGAGATACGGAGCAAAGAGTGCAGAAAATAGAAATCGAGTTTTTGAGTGAACGGAGCATCCGATTTGAATGATCTAAAAAACATTCAATTAGTAATGATTGGGAGAAGGGGTTATTAGTTTTTTGCAAAGGCAGGCCCAGCCATTTCGGAGATACAGAGCTAAATGTACAAAAAATGGCAGTTTTTGAGAGAACTAAGCGTCCGATTCAATTGATTCAAAGAACTTTCTGCTTGTCTTAACAAAATAATTGATTTTGAAAAAAAAAATTTTGTTCCATTTTTTTTTTTTTTTTTTTTTTAACTTCCCGTAGGGTAAGTTATTGTAATGGGCCGAAAATCGGAATTGAAAATTTTTACATTTCTCGACGTTTTGAAGGTTTCTGAACGTTTTGGCATACCTCAGAAAAAATGGATGTGTGTGTGTGTGTGTGTGTGTGTGTGTGTGTGTGTGTATGTATGTATGGATACAAATTTTCGTCCACGTTTTCGAGCGTACGGATCAACCGATTTGAATGGTTTA